TAAGGCTCAGTACTCCGCCGTCCTTTCAGCTGGTCCCACTCTTACCTTAGGGTCCAGGTCAAACTGTATGAGCACGGCCAGTTCCTCCTCCGAAGCCAGGGTTCTAAGTGGACCACGTCAGCCTTCCTGGGAACTGTAGTCCTATCTGGTCCTGCAACTTGATACTAGACTGCCTTGATGCTAATCGCCCATCAGCCTGCATCAGTCCACACTGCCCACTGTGAGACCCCTCTCTTACCAAACCCCACCGACCTACCAGGGGCTCCATCTGTTCCCCTTGCGAAATATTAACAAATGCATATATATTGGTCTCTGTTCTTTGTTCTTGACACAGAGCTCCCAAACCCTTGTAAATAGGGGTGCTAAGAAAATCTTTTGTTCTAATATTTAGTCTTCGACTCTGGTTCCTGATACAAAGTTCCTAAGACCCCTGTAATTTCCTGATCAGGAGCATCTGACAGAGCTCCTAAATCCACTGGAATTTCCAGGAGCATCTTTTTTTCTCATGCTGTGACGCTTAGTGGGTTCCTGGATGGGGCTGGTCACCAGGAAAACCAAGCCATGACTGGAACTTTCATCCCCACTCCCTATTCTTGGGAGAGGGAGGGCGCTGGAAGTGGAGTTAATAATCAATCATGGCTATGTGACGAGGGCTCCATAAAAATGCCAAAGGTATGGAGTTCAGAGAGCTCCTAGACTGGTGAACACATCTATGTGCTGGGAGGGTGGCACACCCCAACTCCACAGGGACAGAAGCTCCTGTGCTTGGAACCCTTCTAGACCTTGCCCTAAGTACCTCTTCATTTGGCTGTTCATTTGTATCCTTTATAATAAACCCGTACTCTGGTAAGTACTGCTTTCCTGAGTTCTGTGAGCTGCTCTAGCAAATTAATGGAACTCAAGGAGGGGGTCAAGGGAACCTCCGATTTATAACCAGTAGGTCAGAAGCACAGGTAACAACTTGCAATTTCAAATGGTGCCTGAAGTGGGGGGTGGAAGCAGTGTTGTGGGACTGAGCCCTTAACCTGGGGGATCTGACGTTAACTCCAGGTAGACAGTGTCAAACTGAACTGAATTGTAGGACACCCAACTGGTGTCACAGAATTGCCTGATGAGTTGAAAACCCACACATCTGGCGTCAGGAGTGTTGTTAAGTGTGGTAGTAGTGTGAGAGTAAAGGAAAACAGTGAGTTCTTCCTGGATACCCCCCTCCTTTCCTCCTTAACAATGATGACTTGCCCACCAGGACTGCCAGCTGTGGGCTGCCCCCTCTCCCTGATACCACTGCCTGACAGCCCTCTCATCCCTGGTTTCTGAGTGGGCCCCATGGCCTGCCTCACCCCAGTGGTCTCTTGGTCCTAGCCCGGCTAGATCTTGTCTGTCTTAATCTGGCCTTCCGTCTATTCACACAAAGCCAGAAAGTTAGTGCTAATGGGTATGAGATTTCTCGTGGAGTGATGAAAATATTCTGAAGTTCATTGTGGAGATGGTTGCAAACTCTACAAATATACTAAAAATCACTCCATTGTACACTTACAAAAAAAGTAAGAAGGATCCTCCCTCCTCTGCTCAAAACCCTGCAATATGGCCCTCGGGGATCTGACCTCACATCCTCCTCCCCTCCCTGCCCACGCTGTTCCACCCTCAGCACTGGCCTCCTTTGCGTTTCTTAAGCAAGCTCCTGTTCCAGGGCCTCTGGACCTGCTGCTCCTTGCCCAGAACGCTCTTCTCCCAACAGATGCGTGGCCCGTTCCTCACCTCCTTCAGATTTCAGATGGCATCATCGCCAAGGGCTTCCTCATGACCTTAAGTAAAAGAGCATTCCACCCTGATAAACGAGACCTGCCACTTACCATCCCCCTACCCTGTCTTACGCTCACCACCAGCTGTTCCTTTCCATACTTTTTAATTTTATTTGTTTATTTTCTCTCTCCTCATTATCATGAAAGCTCCTTTGTTTTGTTCACTATAGCATCTTTACTTGGTGCCTAGAAAACTACAGGCACGCAACACACACTGAGTAAATATTTGTTGACTTAATGGTCCAATGTGACCCATTCTTGATTCCAGCAACGGCACAACCAAAACATTAGGGAGTTTAGTTTAACTATCACAAGATACACTTTGATGTGGATTTTAATGAAATTCATACTTTCAGAAAGTTAATGTTATTCCTGATACAAAGAAAAGATCTGCCTTTTTTGGCAGTCAGATTTGTTAAAAATGACAATGACAACAAAAGAAATTTGAACAACTTGGAATAAAGAGCGATAGGCAGAAATCTAAATGGCTAAATTGCAAAGGCAGGTTAAAAAAAAATCAATTCAAAGCTTCCTGATAGTGACAAACCACAGAATATCTCAGAGCAACGATTTTGCCATACTGAGTTGGCATAACGTGCAAATAACCTTTTCTGTGGGGCCAAAAGAGAAACTATTCCAGATTCAGGACAATGAATGAAATTCACCGTCAGCGGCTTTGGTGCCTCTACAAAGACCAAACATCATGTACCTATTACAGCCATCATTCCAGCTAAGATGAGACAGAGCAGGGAGGCTGCGTATTTACCCAACAATTCTGATCAACCTGAGGTCAAGGGCTACCTCTCATGCATGTTTATACCCCCAGCCCAAAGGCTGCACTTGGCCAAATGTGTATTTGCTGAATGAATGACCCGTAGTGATCAAAACTCCCAAGTTATATATCTATGGAAGTACCCATACACTCAAGTATATATCGCAGTTTCATATTTTCAGAACAATTTCTGAAAGCAAAAACAATTCCCATGGCACAGATTCTCTACTATAACATGTTAAAACTATCATCCCAAATCCACTTGTCTCAATCTTTTCTTAAAGAAAGAAAAGGCAACTAAAAGCCAGACAGACCGAACAGAATATTCAGTTTCTAAGTATCACCCCACATATGACTCAATTACTAAAGGATTAAGTTATCCTTACCGTGGAGAGATGTGATAAACACCACCTTCACCAAATGATTAAACTTAGCATTATCAATAAAGGTACAAATTGACGCTAAATGTCTCCTGATGTGATGCACTGGGAAGGGGACAACATCACCTATGTAGATAGTATTCTGACCAAGAATGTTTAATCTGAATCTGATCATGAAGAAACAATCAGATAAACTTAGATTGTGGGACAGTCTACGAAACAATTAGCCCAGACTCTTAAAAGTGTCAATCTCTAGAAATTGAAACAAAGATGGAGGAACTGTTCTAGATACAAGGAGACTAAAAAGACATGATAACTAAATGCAATATGTGATCTTTGATTAGATCCTGAAATTAAAAAAAAAAAAAGGAAAAAAGCTATAAATGACGTTAGTTGCACAACTTGGGAAATTAAATAAGGCCTGTACATTAGATAATATTCTATCAATGTTAAATTTCTTGGGTGTGATATAGTTTTTTGTCTACGACAGAAAATGTCCTCGCTTTAAAAGATACATGCTGAAGTATCAGGCATCAAGTGCCACCAATTCTAACTTTCTTTCAAATGGTTCTGCAGAAAATAAAAATGTTATGTGTATGCATATATACATATAGAGAAAGAGAAAGCAAAAGAATAAAAATATTAATGAATCTAAGTAAAGGATATATAGGTATTTGTTATACTATCATTTCAATTTTTCAGTAGGTTTGAAAATTTTTTAAATAGAGAGTTGGGGGGAAAATAAGGAAACAAACAAAAACAGACTAATCTGGTCCAGTAGTGCCTCCAGACAGCATAAACATTTCATTTTTTCGACGGTGTCTCCAGAACGCCATGTATTTCCGTTGTCGCTATCAATAGTGACCTTAGTAACTTCTGAAACAACGTGAGCTGCCAGATTATCATTTAGGCATGATTTGAAGCTAACTTCTGCATCTGCCCCAACATGGTTATTATCTTATCAGCTATTTCACAAACCTGCCGGGAAAATACTAGGCAGGTAACACGCTGCAAGTCCCGGGTGTCCACTGAATGGCGCCTGGCAGTCGCTGCCCAGAGGATGAGAAATCACAGGTGCCTCGTGCATGACCGCAGTCAGTAATCCAATCCTCCTCCTTTTGCAGGTCTCAGGGCCCCTTTCTCTCATTGTTTACTAAGATATCAATCAGCTTTGCAGGAGAGCCCAACCTCTCCCTTCGATCGCCACTGTTCTCAGTCTTCTTGCCTTTAAAGGTACAACACATGATTGTGCCCTCTCCTCAGAGCCTTTATTAGCCCTTCCAAGTGATTTCTCCTCCTCTCAACTCTCTGAGCGCAGAGAGCTTTCTACCTTGTATCATAATTTTGAAAAACCCTTAGATCGGGCCCAACAGAAGCTCCGGGGGCGGGGGTAAGAATTGTTAAAAAGAAGCTGTGTCAAAGATCTCGAACGCACGAGTGGGAGACTCGGCAACAGGTCTCAGAAAGCGATTCCGAGAAAGACAAGCTGGTGGAGTGGGTGGATTTGGACAAGGTGCAAGCGATCAGCAGACAACCTCCTGGTGCAGAGGGGTTGGGCTGGACTAGAAACAATGGGAGTGTGAGCTCTGACTGCCCCTCAGCCTGGCCGGACGATTCAACGTTCGAGCTGCGAGAGCCTAAAGGCCGGCGCGGACCAGAGCGGCCAGGCGCATCCCGCGCCCCAAACAAGACGGGGATGACCGCCTCCAGGGCTCTGTCGATTCAAGTCTGAACCTGGGGCGTTTGGACACTCCAAAGAGCAAGACCAGTTTGGGTGGTGGCCGAGCTCCCTTTACTGACCGGTCCGCCCGCGGCCGCTCCCTCCGACCTCGCCCATGCGAGGACTCCGGGGGGCCCGGCCAGAGGGAGCGACGGGGGGAAGGGACTATATCCTCCAGCTCTCGGGCGAGGGAGCAGGAACCTCCTTCTAGGAGGAAAACAGCACCCAGCGGGCGGGGCAGCGGGGCCCCGGGCGCTACGCGAGGAAGGGGCGCCTCACAGATGGGCGACCGCGGCGGGGTGCGCAGGCGCGGGGCGGGGCGGTACCTGGGAAGGAGCAGAGAGAAGTGGAGTTGGGGCACAGGGTCCCGTTGCCCACCCGTGGGACGACCTTCAGGCTGAGGATCTGCTGCAGGAGCCCGGCCGACCCCCCGCTGCCGCCGCTCCCCTCGTGCTCCATCCCGCCGCCATTCACCGCAGAGAGAGGGGGGAAGAGCGTCCAATGTGCTGCCGAGGCTCGCTTTCACTCACAGCCCTCTCCGCTCTCCGCAGCTCCGCTGCCTCAGCGTCACCTTCGGCCGGGCCCTCTTCCTCCTACCCCAACGGCGCTGCCAAGTGATGGTTCGTCCCTCCAATCAGAGCGCGCCGCAGATGGCAGGGGCGGGGCGAGAGTTGTTCCCGCCTCTGACGTTGCGTACGGCCCACCGAGACCCAGCATCCACGGGCTACGCCCCCTACTGGGGAAGTCTCTTCTGCTCCTGCAGGGCTCGCTCTGCTCTGCCCTTGTCTGCAGCGCCACCTATAAGAAAGAAGGAGAATTGCATACGCCCCCCCAGACCAGAGATGTAGATTTAAAACACATCTGGCAATGAGAATCCGATGGCTCAGCAGCCAAGTGAAGGAGGCTGGAAGACAATGCAGCAATACCTTCAATATTTGGAGAGAAAATTAGTTGTTTGAAAGCTTAACTTAGTTTAAATTAAAAAGCATTGTGGGGGCCAGCCCGGTGGCACAGCGGTTAAGTACGTGGGCTCCACTTCGGTGGCCCAGGGTTCGCGGGTTCAGATCCCGGGCGCCCACCGACACACCGCTTGTCAAGCCATGCTGTGGCGCCGTCCCATATGAAGTAAAGGAAGATGGGCACGGATGTTAGCCCAGGGACAATCTTCCTCAGCAAAAAAGAGGAGGATTGGCATCGGATGTTAGCTCAGGGCTGATCTTCCTCACACACACCCACAAAAACAATAAAATGTTAGGGGCCAGCCCCATGGTGTAGCAGCTACGTGCGAGCCCTCCGCTGCTGGCAGTCCCGGTTCGGATCCCGGGCGTGCACCGATGCCCCGCTTGTCAGGCCATGCTGTGGTGGCGTCCCATATAAAGTAGAGGAAGATGGGCACGGATGTTAGCCCAGGGCCAGTCCTCCTCAGCAAAAAGAGGAAGATGGGCATGGATGTTAGCTCAGAGCCGATCTTCCTCACAAAAAATAAATAAATAAAAATAAAAAGCATTGTGTACAAAATACATAATATTACCCTTTTAATTCAAGAACATGAGCAAGATTGTTTATTAGAGTTCCCTCTTGTAAACCTTTTTTATGAAAGCTTTCTATACCAGTTCCCTAAGACTACAACTGGGATTTCACATCAACCAAGCAACTTTTATAAAACAAAAATAGTAAGTATAAAAAAAAAAGTCATGAAATATTTAATAATGCCATCTTTTGGTACATTTCCCAGACTGGCAGACTGTATAAGAAGTAGAAGAAACCAGTTATTTTAGGGTTATATAACAATCATTGTGTATCACATTAGGAAACGTTATTTTGAATTTAGAATTCTATCCTCAGTCAAATTGTGAATCGAGAGGTTAAAAAAAGAGACATTTAGACTTGCAGGACTCAGAAAATGTATGTTTCATGTTCCCCTTTTAGGGAAGCTGAGTGTGTACTCCAGCAAAGTTAGAGTAATAACTAAGAAAGAGAAAGATGTGCAGTATAAGAAATAGTGGATTTAGGGCCTGCCTGGGTGGCGTAGTGGTTAAGTTTGCATGTTCTGCTTTGGTGGCCCGGGTTCACCAGTTCGGATCCTGGGTGTGGACCTACTCATTGCTCATCAAGCCATGCTGAGGTGGCGTCCCACACGGAAGAACTAGAAGGACCTACAACTAGGATATACAATTATGTACCGGGGCTTAGGGGAAAAAAAAAGCAAAAGAGGAAGATTGGCAACAGATGTTAGCTTAGGGTCACTCTTCCTCAAAAAAAAAAAAAAAAAATAGTGGATTTAACCAGAAGTGTTAGACTGACTTCTGTGCAATAGTCCTAGCAGCCACCTAACCAGATTAGAACAGAAAGAAGAGGGTCCTCGGGAAGAATAATGGAAGTGACTCAAGCTATGGACAAAATGGTAAGAAGCTCAAATTTTTAATGACAGGGTAAATCATGTACCCATTTCTTCTCTCAATGGGAAAAAAACTGAAAAGCAATACAAACTCCAGGAAAAACACAAACCTGCAAGAAAATTATGAAGCAAATATAAAGCAAACAAAAGCTAAGTTTTTATTTTTGTTTTGTTGTTTTTTAGAAATCTACTCTCCTACTTGTTTCACTTATAGTGAGATGCAGAACTATAAAACTTTTAGAAGACAATATTGAATATCTTTATGGTCTCAGGATAGTAAAGGAGTTCTTAAACAAGATACAAAAAGCCAAGACCATAAAGGAAAGTTTTGATAAATTTAACTACTTTAAATTAAGAACTTGTATTATTCAAGAGTTACATAAAGAAAGTAAAAAGACAAGCCGCAAACTGGGAGAAAATATTTGTAATACATATAACTGACAAAGGAGTAGTATTCAGAATATATAAAGCACTCCTAAAAATCAATAAGAAAATGACAAAGAGACAAAAGACCTGAATAGGTACTTTATCAAAGAGAAATACAAATGGCCAACAAAAATAGGAACAGATGCTTTACCTCATTATTAATCAGTGAAACACAAAATGAAATCACAATAAGATATCATTTGTCAATCACCTAATAGCCAAAAATTTAAAAGTTTGAGAACACCAATTGTTGGTGAAGTTGTACAGCAACTGGAACACTGGAGGTATAAATTGATATAACCATTTTGGAATAGTGTTGAATGAAGATGGTCAAGATCCAGCCACTTCACTCCCAGGTGAATATTCTATAGCATTTGTACCAGGAGATACGTACAAGATTGTTCCTAGTAGCACTGTAACAGCAAGTAACTAAAAACAAGCCAAGTGTTCATCAAGGAAAGAATAGATAAATAAACTTGTGGTATAATTTTCAATAAAATACTATTCAGTAGTGGAAATAAATGAGCTAAAGCTGCAAGCAACAACATGATGAATCCCAGGAATATAAAGTTGAGGGGGAAATCTAAGTTGCAGAAGAATGCCACAGTGTGATTCAATTCCAGCTTAAAAACTTGCAAAACTGGGGCCAGCCCGGTGGTGTAGTGGTTAAGTTCGTGCATTCCGCTTCAATGGCCCGGGGTTCCTGGGTTTGGATCTCAAGTGTGGACCCACACACCGCTCATCAAGCCATGCTGTGGTGGCATCCCATATACAAAAAATGGAGGAAGATTGGCACAGATGTTAGCTCAGCGACAATCTTTCTCAAGCAAAAAGAGGAAGATTGGCAACAGATGTTAGCTCAGGGCCAATCTTCCTCACACACACACACACACACAAAAAACCACCTTGCAAAACTAATAATATACTAATTCAGGATACTTAACATAGGCAGTAAAATTATAATGGAATATTTATTTAACTGGGTACTTGTTCTATTATTTTTTTAATACCTGACATATTACACATTTATATGACATTATATTTATATTTATTTATTCAACTAAGGAAGGCCATAGAGCAAAAGTGGCCTTGGATACCCTCAATCTCACTCCAACCAAAAGCCAAAGTCCTCGCCAAGGCCTACAAGGTCCTGCGTGATCTTACCCCCTCTCTCTTACCTTCTTACCTCCTAGCACTCTTCCTTGGGCCCACCATACCAGAACTATGAGCCCCTTGCTGTTCTTCCAGTATGCCAGATACATTCCCTCCTTAGGATTTCTGTATTACCTGTTTCCTCCTCCAGGACACTCTACCCATAGTTACCCCTTAATTAACTACCTCACCTACTTTAAAACTTTGCTCAAATGTCACTTTCTCAATGAGACCTACTGTGATCACCCCATTAACAATCACAGCTCACACCCCTACATACATACATTCCTGAGCCACATGATCCTTCCCTACTTTTGTCCTTAGCACTGGTTGGTGCTCAATCCATAATGTGTGTTGAATGAATGAATGGAGGTGTGGAGGACTTGAAGACTGGGATCAGAATAGCACCAGAACTGCAAGGCCAACCAAGTTCTCCAGTCTTACCTGCAAGGGAGAAAATACTCAATCAGCTGAAGGTCTTGCCACTCTGGGAAAATTTGAGGTCCAGACTGTGGTGGTTGCTTCAGTCTCTGTGTGGTTCGCCAACTCCCTTCATTTCAGCAGCACTCTCACACCCTCCTGAGGCTACCAAGGCTTTTGCTCCAGTTTTTTTCTTTTTTAAGACAATTTTTTTTAGAGCAGTTTTAGGTTTACAACAAAATTGAGAGGGAGGTACAGAGATTTCCCATATACCTCCTGCCCTCACACATGCATAGCCTCTGCCATTATCAACATCACTCACCAGAGTGTTACATTTGTTAACAAGGAGGAACCTACATTGACACATCATAATCACCCAAAGTCCATAGTTTACCTTAGAGTTCACTTTTTATGTTGTACATTCTATGGGTTTGGGCAAATGTATAATGACACATATCCATTATTATAATAGCACACAGAGTATTTTCATTGCCCTAAAACTCCTCTGTGCTCCACCTACTCAATCCTCCCCTCCCCACTCCCAGCTCCTAGCAACCACTAATCTTTTCACTGTGTCCATAGTTTTGCCTTTTCCAGAATGTCATATAGTTGGAATCATACAGTATGTAGCTTCTTCAGATTGGCTTCTTTCATTTGGTAATATGCACTTCAGGTTCCTCCATGTCTTTTCATGGCTTGATAGCTCATTTCTTTTTAGCACTGAATAACATTCCATCAGGTAGGTAAAAATGAAAATGATTGATTTGACCCTGTACAGGTGATGGCGGTGGGGTGGGAGCGGTTGGGAGGAGAGGGTGACAAGGCATTCTTGACACTCTTCCAAAGAGTATAAGTTGGTACTCCATTTTTAGAGTAATCTGGCAATTTCACATTTAAAAAATGAATGCTCCTTGATCCAGCAGTTCTACTTCTAGGAATCTTTACTATAGACATACAACTCTGTCATCTCCTGGGGGCTTCTCCCATCCCATGAGCCCAGATTCCCAGGAGTGAGTCTTTTATTTTGTCAAGGAAACGTGATTCCAAGGGACCAATCCCTCAGTCTCTGTCTGCCTCGGTTTCTTCATCTCATGTTTGATTAACTCATATTTATCCTTCATTTATTCAAACCAAATGTTTCCTCTTCAAAGAGGTCTTCCTGACGCCCCATACTAAAGAAGGTCGCCCTCTACCCATTCTTATTGTTTCTTTTAAGAGCACAATTGACATTTATGGTTACATGTTTATCTGTGGGACTATTTATTTTGGGTCTGCACTCCCCACAAGAGCAAGGGCTGTGACTGCTCTGTCTCCCACTATGTCCCAGGGCCTGGCATTGGCCTGACTCATTGAAGCACTCAACTGGCTACTACCTGTTTTTGTCCTGAAACTTGACCTGGGTTCACCTGAGACCTTGCCTGGAACCCGTGTGCCAGGGAACTCACTCAGAGGCTTGCCCAGAGTGTCCCATATGCAGCGAGTAAAGTCTAGGAGCCAGTCATCCCCATCCTTGGGACCCCAGGAGTCAAATGAGAATGGATGAATCACATAGCAAGGGCCATTAATTATGGCCATCAATACAATCCGTGACCTGAGCAGGGCAAATGCAACTTGTGGGATGCCACTATCAGGCCGGGCTCTGAGCCCCCAACAAAAGCCTTCCTGGACCCCACCAGAGATCAGTGTCTCCTCATTCTTAGCCTCTGGGCCCATGAACCTCTTGCTCATCCTTCTTTGCCTGAACACATCATATTGCCCAGGACCGTTCCTAGGTGGACTCCTCCATTTGACAGTGCACTTCTTCCAAAGCAGGCTGCCTTTATCCCCAGTGGCCAGCACAGGGTGGAGGACAGGGAGGGGCGTGCAGGGAGGACAGGGGCCAGCGGCAGGGGCCCCAATGCCTCAGCCAACTGCCCACCATACCTTTCAACATTCTGCTTCTTGAGATGTTTGCAGCCAAATGCCAGGACGGCTCTCTGACACCCAGAGACCCATGTCACCATCAGGGAGAAATGATCTGGTTTTCCAAGCCTGTGGTGGGGTCCTTTGCTGCATCCCCAGTTCACTAAGTAAAGTGAACGGTAAGTATTTAAGTCAAAGAAATGAGTTCGAGTCCTTGCCCATACATTAAGCTATGTCACTTGAGCCTTTCTAAGCTGCAGAGTCTCCATTAATAAATTTGGGGTTTTAAATACCTTCCCCATGCTATTATGAGCAGGGGCAGATAGAGGTTTCAGGGGCCTGAAGCTTCTACAGCTTGAGAGATCCTCAAATGAGCCATCTGGAAGCTTCAGCTTCAAGGTCAACATACCTCTGCTCCCCGCAAAAAAAGCAGCATAAAACGCCAGATCCCCCTCGCCCCTCCTGCTTTGCAGCGAGGATGTGGGTCCACAATCCAGGTCCCACCAATGGAAGGCCACATCCAGGCTGAGAATCAGAAGTGAGCAACCTCGGCCAGCCCCGTGGCTTAGCGGTTAAGCGCGCGCTCTGCTACTGGCCGCCTGGGTTTGGATCCCGGCCGCACACCGATGCACCGCTTCTCCGGCCATGCTGAGGCCGCGTCCCACATACAGCAACTAGAAGGATGTGCAGCTATGACATACAACTATCTACTGGGGCTTTGGGGGAAAAAAAAAAAGGAGGAGGATTGGCAATAGATGTTAGCTCAGAGCTGGTCTTCCTCAGCAAAAAGAGGAGGATTAGCGTGGATGTTAGCTCAGGGCTGGTCTTCCTCACAAAAAAAAAAAAAAAAAAAAAGAAGTGAGCAACCTCCAGAGTCCCTTCTGGTGACTGATGGCAACAGTGAGGGCAGCTCCCTCATTTCCAGAGGTAATGGGCACAGTAGTTCTGGTGGCAAGTGGCAGTCCCCAGACCAACTTTGTGCCCCAGTGGGGCTTGGGGTATTCTATTTGTATGGACTCAGATTTGCTTCCCTGTCCTTCCCAGAGGTTCTGTGAGGTTTTTGGTTTTTTTCTTTTTAAACATTTACTGAGCACTTGCTGGCTCTCATTTCCTAAGCTCAGGACTAAGCCCTCTACACATTGAGTATCCCTCTAGTAAGTCTCCTTGCTGCCAGAGCTAGGGGTTGTGGCTTGCACTTAGGAATCTTACTCTGCTCTCCTCCAGGGCCTGGCCTGGAAGGACGGAGGGAAGACAATCACCCCAGAGCCGTTTTTCTTCCAAGCTCACAGCAAGCCTGATTTGGTTACATTCACCCTGTGACCTGCCCTCCAGGCACTGATCCTGCTGCCAACCTCTTGCTCCTCTGCACTGAACCTTGCTGTCCAGGCCTCCCCAGCCTTCACTCCCTCCACCTTTCCTCCTCACAGCCTCCCCCCAGGCTTATCCAGGAGGCTCCCTAGATTCTGCACTCTGGGCCCAGAACTTACCACTTCCCATATTCCACAGCTGTGGCCCCAGCCATGGCAGCTTGCTCTTCCCTAGGGCAAATAAGAGGGGAAAATCTGGCCCTTCTTTGTCCAGGAGACAGGTCTCTGCACGCCTGATTCACCCTCTTCTCCCCACTGCAGCCCCAGAGCCAAACCTTCCGCCTCCTTTCATACTCCTTATCTTGTGACAGTGGACAAGTCCGTGTTTTGCCTGTCAAACTTTACAGGCTATCAACTAATCTGTACCACATAGGTTAATTATTATGTTTATTTCTGTAGGTAGGAGCTTTCCTGTTAGGACAAATCAAAGGTTCACCCTACCTGGATAGGTGATGGGGGTGTGTGGGCTCCTGGGAGGTGGGGCAGCAAGAGGATAAGGGGAGACCACAAAACAAAAGAAATCTTGTCTGATTTCTCGCTGATGATACAAGTGAATATAACCGCCAATGGCTTTGATGGAGTGGTGCCAGCGGGATGGGAGGAACGAAGGGGGGGGGATGTATGGGGGGAGGAGGGGGGACGACGACGACTTACAGAAGCTCATCATAGTGCCCCTCCACTCCCAGGCAGGACTGGGCCACCCTTCTCAGCTGCTGGATGATGCATCCCAAGGGAGGAGAGAGTTAAGGCGAAAGAAAGCGCTTGAGTAGGAGCCAGGTTGTCTGAACTTATACCCTGTGCCAAGAGGAAATGGGGGCACGAGTTTTGCTTTCTATGAAGTGTGCCCGGTGGGAACCTCGCTCCTAAAGAGGACCCAAAGGAAAGTCAAGAAGTAGGGGGAAAAGAAACATGTAGTTTGGGGACTCAGTCCTTTCCTACTACAGGGGAGGATTCCCCAACTCCCGGCCCCTCCAGTAGCTGCCTGCGGCCCCTGTGCCCCGGCTCCCTCCCTACCGTACTCTAGTTTCCCGGCCCTGGCGACCGCCACAACTGGGGGCCTCCGCTAAGGCCCGGGATGCGCGGCAGTGGACGACGCCCAGCTGAAGCTGCTCCGGCCGAGCGGCAGCACCAGATCCAGGGCGAGGTTGCGCTGTTCTTTCTCGGAGAACACGGGCCGGTAGCCCAGCAGCTGCAGCGCCCCGGCACACAGCTCCTGTACGCGGCGGATCTTGCTGAAGGACAGAGCGTGGCGCCAGGCCTGGGAAACGTTGAGCGCGTCCCTGGACGTGGTCTTGAAGGCCTCGCGGCGCGCGCCGGGCCCGGACCCGTGAGTGATGTTGTGGATCCAGGCCTCAAGCTGGGGCGTGAGGCTCAGGCCCGCGAAGTTGTAGAGGGCGCGGATCTCGGACAGCGGCGCGCGCGCCAGGTCCTCGAAGCGCACCAGGCGGTAGCGGTCCCGCAGGAAGGGCGGCGGCTTGCGCGTGGCGGCCTCGGCGATGCGCACGTGGCTGCGGCACACCTCGCTCACCACGCGCAGGCCAGGGTCGGCCTCCACCCACGTGCCGTTGGTGCCCAGCACTATGCCGTTGTCGCGCGCCAGCGCCTTGGCCGTCTGCTCGCGCGAGCGCAGCACCGCCCGCGGGTCGCGCACCAGATGCACGATGCGCAGGTTGAGCGCCGGGTCGTTGAGCAGCGGGTAGAGCACCTGCAGGTTGAAGAAGCGCACCTCCTTGAGCACCACGTGGCTGTAGGAGCGGCAGGCCTCCTGGGCCACGCTGAAGGGCCGGCGCGCGCACAGCGGTTTGCACACGGCCTCACTGCTGATGGCGCCGCGCGGGAAGGCGCTGCAGGCCGGCGGCGAGCACAGCGCGCGGCTCACCGCCGACTGGAAGAGGTCCGACAGGTTGCGACGCCACGGCAGGTAGGCATCGAACACGTCCATGTCGCACAGGAAGACGGAGCGCACCAGGTCGCGCACGGCCATGTGCAGCGTGGGTGCGCTGCCCTGCGACAGGGCGGTCCACACATGCCACCCGGGCTCCATCAGGTAGAAGACATCGGGGTGCTGGCTGAAGAGCTGGCCAACGAAGGACGAGCCTGAACGCCACGAGGACAGCACCAGTACGTGCACCCGCTGCTCGCCACCCACTGGGGACAGCGGCCTGGGCCTGGAGACCAGGAAGAGCAGGAGGCCAGACTGCGCCAGCAGGAGCGCGGTCACCACCATGCTGGAGAAGCGCGACAGCCACATGCCGCCGGCAGTGGGGCCTGTGGAAGGAGAGCGCAGCCGTTTGGGAGCTCGGCCTGCTCGCCCCTCCCACACCCCACCTCCTAACCAGCGCTTACAGGGAGCGCCCCGGGCCTCGACCACCCAAGCCGTGGGGGCCGCCCAAGACCACAACCGTCTCAGTTTGGGCGCTCCCCCCGGAATGTGAAGTTAAGACATGGCCACGGGGCCGGCCCTGTGGCTTGGTGGTTAAGTGCGCGCGCTGCGATGCTGGCGGCCCGGGTTCGGATCCCGGGTGCGCATCGAGGCACCACTTCTCCGTTCATCCTGAGGCCGAGTCCCACATACAGCAACTAGAAGGATGTGCAGCTACGACACACAACTATCCACTGGGGCTTTGGGGGGAAAAAATAAAATAAATAAAATCTTAAAAAAAAAAAAAAAAAAAAAAAAAAAAAAAAAAAAAAAAAAAAAAGACATGGCCACGATTTGGTCCATGCAGAGCAAAAGGCCAGTTGCAGAATACTGTGGGAAATGTTTCTTTTTATCTATCTGGGGAGGGAAATGTTTTTAAAAGAGAACTCTCACCTTGTGCTTAAGAATTCCTTTTAGGGAGACAATTTTAAGTTGTTTAGCTGAACAGCTTGATGGGTGATTTGGCTGATGTAAGAGCACCACCAAGCTCCCTCAGGTTGAATCTTGGCTCAGCCACTTCCTGGCCTGTGATCTTGGACCAAACTCTTAATCTCTCTGTGACTCGGCTTACCCAACTGTAAACAGGGGATAATACTGGTTTTGGGGTATTGGAATGAGCATGGGGGTGGAGGGGCTTGTAGTAACTTCCATAACTAAGAACTTGTACTTTCTACACAGTGTGCTTCTGCATTGTATGATTTTTCTTAAACCAGCAGATACAACTTTTGGGAGGGTATCTTGCTGGAACTGTGTGAGTTTGCAGAAGCAGCCAGTTAAAGGAGAGAGAGGATGGAGCCAGAGGAGGGGGGAGGTGAGAACAGAGTCAGGCTCCCGCCCGCTGCTTGCCCCTTTCCCTGCTGAGGTTACTCACCTCTGTCCAGGACTGCTGGGAGAGCTTCCCACCCCAATCACAAATCCATGGGAGATGTCTGGAGGGTCCTCAGGGTCTGAGAAAGCAGGAGGGAGGCTGGGTCAGAGCCCCATAAGGGGAGATAGCCCTGCACACCAGGAGGGCTCTGCCTTCCCAGACTGACCGACAGTTCCTCATGGGTGGGCGTGGAGCTGCCCTGGCTTTGGCTGGAGCTGGGCACGGACCAGGTGCTGGATACATTTTTCCAAATGATGGGAACTGACAGGCTCTCCTGCTGGGGGCAGGAGACAGGGCTGGCTTTGAGTCCCTTCATGCCACTTATGACTTCTGCAAGGCTCAATTTCCTCTTTGAGAGAATGAGGATGGTAGCATTTAACTTCTCAGCGTTGTTGTGAGGAATGCTGCTACACAGTGAGGAAAGGGCTTGGTAAAGTGCCACATGTGTGCCCCAGGTTACCGATACTGTTGTAGTGTTAAGCTGTGTCTGGAGAGGAGGAACATGGGAGGTCTCCACCCAGATGAGACACCCTGAGGTCACCTGTGCTTGGGATCCCAGCATCTCCCAGGCCCACCTCTAGCCCCCACCCACCACTGAGTCCTTCCGTGGATCCTCAGAATGTCACGCGTGTCCTGCAGAATGAAAGGAACACCGAGCCCAGCTTCCACACCCGAGGTCCAGAGTTTTCTCCTTTTTGCACTTGTTGCTCCTGCAATAATCTCACAGATGAGCTGCTTTGAAAGGGAGGGGCCTGGAAGTTTCCTCCTTGCTTTCACAGCATTTGGATCCCATTAAACCCCCACCCCTGCCCATGTCACCACTGAGAGAAGCCGAGGTCTAAACTGTGAGCAGATCCCATCTCTGCTCCTTCCCCTTATTGAGAGGCTGCAGGAGTGAGTGGAGGATACCCAATAGCTCTGTCATCTCCTGATTCCAGAAGTGTCTCCTGGATCCCACACCCACTCCTGGAAAACCTGGAAGACAAGGAGAGGAGCCACTATCTGCTCTGCACATGTTATCTCCTCTCCTTAAGGTGTGCTTTCCCTGAAAACAGGGTGCGGGGGAGGAAGGGAACTCATAACTCGGATTTCCTGAGAGAAATTACCTCAAGTGCTAGATGCTTTACATCCACTCTATGATTTAACTCAATGGCCCCCTGAGGTGGGTGTTATGATCTTTTTTTTTAGATGAAGGACCCAAGCCTTGGGGAGACATCCGGGTAACGGGACCCCAACCCAAGACTTCCATTTCTAAATTCCTAGCACTTACCCATCACAGGCTGCTGGCCTTTCCCATCCCTGGGAGATCCCTGCAGAGGGCAGGACCCTGATGTTTGGCCTGAACACAGCTGCCCTAGCCAGCCCAGCCCTCTCCTGGGTAGGGAGGATCTTGACCCCATGCCAAGGTGTTTGTTACCTGCACTCCAGGGAAACCAGAGGTTTTCTTAAGTGACTCACACAATACAGGAACTGCTATTTGATCCTATTATTGGAACTCAAGAACTAGGAAGGAGATCAAAATATCCTACACCTCAAGGGGTGTCCAGAGAAGTCCAGGTCCCAGCTGGGAGTCTTCCAATAAGCAACCATATGTTCAACACACCCATTAATTGCCCCAGGGTTCAAAGTTAGGAACAACATATCGGGCAGGCCTCTGATGTGTACATACTTTATCTTCATGACTGAATCTTATATTATCATCCCTAGGAAGCAGAAATTATCCCTGTCTGTTTTAATTGAGGCAAAGGGGCTCAGAGACATGAATACTCAGTAAGGGACAGGGAAGGGGTTTAAGTCCAACAGTCAACCCTCAGGGGAGGGCTCTGGGGTGGGTCCCACTGCTAAGCCTTTGCCCAATGAAGTCCCCCATCTTGGAAGGCCTAGCCCCATCCCCTATAAATTCTTTCATTTTTAAATTCTTTGTGGGGGGGGTATATGTTTATTAGATGTTTAATTTTTGGATAAAGTAATACATAGAGGTGGCACAAAATTATAAAAGTACAGATGAGGGCATCATGGGCTCATGTTTTATTTGTGAAAATTAGAAAAGGGGCCCCATCCTCTGGCAGACACAGCCCCACACCAGAGTGCCAGGGCCACTCAGTCAAAAGGAAGTGACATTCTCTGTCCCCTACACCTCCCCCATCCCCCAGGCCATCTTCAGAGGCAACCCTGCCTCCAACTTCCACCAAGTCTTTGATGGTAATGATGGTGACAATGAAAATAATTATATATTTAGGGATTGGGGTGTGGTGGGAGTAAAGTACAAGAGGCCACAGAAAGAACAGAAAGTTCCCCCTCCTACCCTGATACCCAGGGTCACCCTACAGAGTGGTCTTTCTTAAGTCACTGAAACTTTTTTTTGTCATAAAGTCTTTTTAAAATTTATTTTTGTCAAAATAATACACATAGCTTGAATAGGCATAAGCTATCCCTGGAAGTTTATACAAGAAAGTAACCATGTTAGTTTCCCCTGGGTGGGGAATGAAATAGCTGGGAAAAGACATTTCACAATAAATCCTCTTTTGTACTATTTGAATTTTGACCCATATGAACATATTACCTATTTAAAAATAATTAAATTAAAATAGTTTTAAATGTACATAGTTTAACAAGTCAGATAGTTATCACAAGTCATTCTCTTGCTCCAAAATCCTATTTAACAAGAGGTAACTGCTTTCAAATTTGTTAGTTGTTTCTTTTGCTAATTACCTTCCTATTTCTTAAAAAAAAAAAAAAGCATGAATTGTTACGGTTACAATTTATGGCATTTTCTAATGACTTATTATAATGAAAGATAAAGATTTATCTTCTCTCCACACACACACAGAAATAAAGGTAAATACACACTTTCCTTCTACCCCTAGCCTCCTAAAATAATTTTTGGTTGTCAATATTTAAAATTCACATACTTTATAAAACAGCTCACAACTGAAGCACATAATGCGCTAAGAGTGCATTTCCTTTCTTGTACAATCTTTGTCTTCATCAGAGTTAAATTGCTCTAGAGATTAAAATTTTACTAGGAGGGTTGAAAGATAAAATTGAGGCAATGGAGAAAGTAGAACAAAAAAAAAAAAAACAGATGATGGATAAAAGACATAAAATAGAGAAAAAAAAGAAAGCAAGAGGATCAATCCTGGAGGTCCAATGTTCAGGGCTCCTATCATGGTGGAGCCCACAGTCTAGTTGGGAATATTAAAGACACACCCATGAGATGGTCAAGGGACCAGATGGTGGTCCGAGAGAGTGGCCTGGACATCCAGTGCCACAGGAGGGTCCTGCTAGTCCTGGCATCCATACTTCTCTTCTGGATTCTGGCAAACTCCCCCACCTAGCCTCTCTCTAATCCATCTTGCACCGAGTCACCACAGACGCCTATCTGATCATGACATTCTCCTCATCAGCAACCTTCACCGTTCCAACCTCGTTTCCCAAAATTTCTGCATTTTCCAGATAGTCTACAATAGACTTTTATTACTTTGGTAATCATAAAATCCATTTTTTCTTGTTGATTAAAGGAGGCATGGGTGGATTTTGCCTGTTCCAGCTTTCATTGCAGGGAGAGAAGGGCCTGCAAATCCATCTCCCAGCTGACCTGAGTACCCAGTTGGCCAGAGGACAGGGACATGGGATGAAGAATTACCTCCTACGCAGTGAAAGGTGCCAAGGTCCCCAAGCCCACTCTCAGTCTGGAGGCCTGTGGGCTGGGCCAGGCTGTGGCAGAAGACGTGCCTGGCCCCAAGCCCTGGCCACATCTGCTGTTTCTCTGCCAGCCCTGATGAGCAGCAGTGTGGCAGGAGCCCCAGGCAGGGAGGCTGGAGTTGCAGAGCCCAGATGCTGCTGGAGGAAACTTCTGCCTGCAAGAATCTATGGGAAATGAAATCAACTTCATCTTCTTCAACAAGAGCCTGCAGTCTCCCTGGCTCAGCCCTGGGGCACTTCAGAGCAGATGAGCAGATATCAACACATAAACCCTTTGCCCTGTGTCTGAGATTTGGGATCCTCAAAGTGCACTTTGCACAGCACCTAATTTGGTCTAAATTGTAGAACCTGACAGCTGGAAGGCCCTAAAGTCTGGGGGCTCCCTCCTCTTCTCTGCAGTAACACACACAGGGTATGGGGGTAGGGAGCACACATTTAACACATTCCACTGTGTTCCTTCAGGTGCTCACTGAGCTCTCTAATACAGAGATAATCTGGAATGTTCTCTGGTTTATTTTTTTAACTTTTTGTTTTGATTAATTTATTTTTTAAAAAATGTAAATTATTCATACCAGTCAATGACATAAAAAGAAAAAGGAAGAGACTGTTTTAGAAGAAAATAAGTCAAAACACATAGCCAAATGCAACGTGTGGACTTTGGATTCTGATCCAAACAAACCAACTGCAAGAAGGTATCTTTGAGGTAATCAGAGAAATTTTAATATGGACTGAATAGTAGGTGATATTGAGAAATCATTGTTAATGCTATTGTCACTACCTAGAATACTCTTGTTCATGCATTTCTGTCCCTATCTCCCCTTACTAGACTAGGAGCAGGACCTGGCTCTCATCACAGGGAGTAGGTGTAGCCCAGTGGCTAAGAATATGAACTCCATTTGTTCATTTAATGTGTGATCTTGGACAAGTTACTTAATCTCTCTGTGCCTGTCTTTTTTTTTTTTTTTTTTTTAATCTATAAAATGGGGGAAATAATATAACCCAAGTCATGGGCTTGAAGATTAAATGAGTTAATATTTATAAAGCACTTAAAACAATGTCCGGCACATAGTATTATAAGCATGTGTTCAGAAATCTTCCAAATCCTGGGTCACAACTATATTCTTTGAATCCAAGGGAAAGCCCTTCATAAGGAAAACTCAAGGACAATAGCCTAACCAGGTTCAGGTGACCCTAGCACCAAAATGTGGGGCAGAACATGTACATACAAACAGAAGATAGCGAATAATGGCCAGAAGCCTGGCTTCTGAAGCCAGACTGGGTTCAAATCCACCTCTACAACCAGTGAGGTGTGCGACTTTGAGCAAGTCACTCCTAACCTCTCTGTGCTGCAGCTGACTCCTTTGTAAAGGAGGCCATAACAGCACCTAACACTCCAGCTGGAGGAGAGTAAATGGAACAATATAACCCTCAGCATGGCCAGCACTCACCCAGCAGCCTACTATTCTTATTAGTTCTGATGCTTGGCTCACGCACTCATGGCTTCAGATCAGCCAAGTCCTTTCTGCTCTTAGGCCTCAGTTTTCCCACCCTCATGCCTCCAATACAAGAGAGAAGAGAAGAGAGAGTTATCATTTGCTTGGCACCTATGCTGAGGCCAACAGAGATCTCTTTTGCTGCCCAAGATCCAGCAGCCAGAAGCAGGGGCCGCCAGACTCAAATTCAGCTGGATCTGGTTTTAAATTCACTCACCAAGATGCTCTTCTTCACGAGTTCTGTGGGAAAAGCCTTTGGAGAGCTTTCTAGATTAAAGTCATTCCGTTTGAAACTCAAGTTTCAACGGATAGGGGTCCCCCAACAGTGATCTCCTGTGCAGCTGAAGCCCAGGAAGACATTTGCAAACCAGTGACTGGGACGGAGATGCCCTTTCCACGTTGCTCATAGAGCAACCACACTTAGTTCCTCCCCCCACACCCGACCCCCAGCTTTAAGATCAATGCCCTCCCAACTGTGCCATTGGTCCAGCCCCAAGCCTGCCCAGGGTGGGGGCATCGCGCGCGGAGAAAGGACAAACCAACGTACCCCAAAGCTTGGCGTCCCTGCCCGACCCGGCGAGGCCGGGAGGCAGACACCCTTCTCCGGAGGCTCAGCAAAGGCTCCTTGACGTCGTCTCTGTCTCTTCCAAGTTCCACTCCACCGCCAGCTCTGTCTCTTCACTGCGCGAGTCCGCAGGGGCTGATTTGTTCCTTATGGTCCCAAGGCTATTAAGGGGCACCCAGTGACACCGGGGAGGGGGCTCTAAGAGGCGTGGACAGGGGTCTGCGGATACCAAGATATGGGAGACACCTGGAGACCCAAGGCAGAGAGGACCTGGAAACAGGGCAGGAGTCCCCTAAAAAGAGAGAGGCGTCGTAAGAAAGGGATGTTGGGGGTGGAGGGACAGACCTGGGGCAACGTCAAGAAACAAACTACGGCCCCCCGGACCCGAACCCGGACCTGAGCCCGGCTCTGCGCCCCCGCGCCCTGCGCTACCTGCGCGGCAGCCCGCGGCCCGCGGCGCTGCTCTGCGCTGCCGGCCCGGAGCGGAGCGCACACAATGAGGCGCTTTCAGACGTGGCTGCGGTCCCGGATCCGGCGGGCGGGAGCCAGGGCGGGAGGGGAGGGAAGGAAGGAAAGAGCCAGTTGGCCCCCAGCTCCCGCTACACGCCCCCCGCCACAGGACCGAAGAGCCACGCCTCGGGGGAGGGGCAGCTGCTTAGAGGCGGGCGCAGGAGGGCTTCGAGTAAGGGAGGGCACAGGTGGGCCCGGTGGTCTGCCGGAGGCGCACTGTTTGGCCAAGGATGTCAAAGGGCGCTCGCAGAGTCACCTCTCATCTCACTAATGGACCAAAAAAGTTGTCTCCCCCTCCAATCACCAGAGAAGGGAGGATTCTGGGAGCACAAAAGGCCCTTGTGAAGGAAACTGAATCTTAATCTTGCCCCTCCTCGCTCTCAGTGGCATCCTCACAGCGAAGTGACTTGGAATCTAAATCACTTCCCAAGCCCCCAGTCTCAGCCCTCAGCCAAGTCCACGACACCTTGACGCCAAGCACACCGCGCTGCCTCGCCCGCCCAGGCCAGCGGGCGCAGTAGCCAAGCTGGGAAGAGCGACACACCAGGTGGCCCTCAGGAGCTAGGCCCACAGCTGGCTGTCCCTTACAGATAACAGAGCAGAGTCCAGACATCTGAAAAAGATAAGAGAATTTGGACCTTTTGTAATCCGTGGTGGGATCTAAAAAAAGTCTCTTTTTGAGACTTCTCAAATTAGTGCATTCTTTCCAGGATTCAGTTTGGCAAGATGAATTAAAATCCTTAAGAATAGTCATAAGTTTTTTGAATTAGTAATTCCTTTCTAGGATCTATCTTAAGAAAATAAACCAGCAACAAGGATTCATACACAAGGTTCATAGAAGTGTTGTTTATGATAAGAAAAAAATTAGAAACAACACAAAAGAGGAGAAGGATGTGTACCAGAACGCTAACAGTGATAACTTCTGGGTAGCAGATTTATAGACAACTCATTTTCTTTTGATTACAGTAATTACACATTTTCCCCAATAGGCATTTAGAACTTACATGGTCAGAAAGAAACAAAACTTCTTTTAAAAACCATGAACATGGGGGGCCACCCAGTGGCACAGCGGTTAAGTGCGCGCTCTCCGCTTCTGCCACCCGGGTGCGCGGGTTCAGATCCGGGGCGCTCACCATCACACCGCTTGTCAAGCCACGCTGTGGCAGCATCCCATATAAAGTAGAGGAAGATGGGCACAGATGTTAGCCCAGGGCCAGTCTTCCTCAGCATAAAAGAGGAGGATTGGCATCGGATGTTAGCTCAGGGCTGATCTTCCTCACACACACACAAAAAGCATGAACATGAAGAGAAAGAAAGGAGACACAGAGAATTACTTTATGAACCTTAGATGATGGGACCAAAGCGGGACTTTAGGGGCCTCTCCTGATTCAAACAGAAACTGGATAATCATTTGGCAAAATTAGGGATCTTCCCCAACCCCAATATTGAGTAAGTGTCTCAAACTCTGATTTAGCTATGGGTTACAGCTCAGTTGATAAAATCCTGGATATTTCTCATCTTTTTCCTCCTTGCAACTACACTGTGTGATTCAGGTTCAGAAGCTACCAACATCTGATCTGTAAATAATTTGCTATTCACCAGATGCAGTAGTAATTTTCCAGCCTGTGGTTTCCACAGGCCATGTGGATTCCACTGAAAACTCACATTTACTTGGGGCTGGACCAGGGGACTTCTGCCCAAGAGCTAACAAAAGCTCCAAGGTCTCTGGGCAGAGCCCTGGCAAAGCAAGGCTGTTGGTGAGTAACTTGGAGAAGTGTGCGCAACCTCTGCCCTCCCTATTCTTCCTCCTTCCAAACTTCCCCTCTAAAAAGCCACATGCAACCTTCCATTTTGAACATTTTAATTAGAAAGTTACAAAACATCATAGCTTTTTACACAAATTTTGCATTAAAATAATTTAACAAAATGCAAAGCAATGTTTATACACATCTTTAGCTATCTTTCCATATCTCATTATCTTTTTGTGATTCAAACCAGCAACCATTTTTCATTTAAATCTCAAGAAAAAATTTTTAGGCATATAAACAGCCCTAAACATTAAAAAAAAGGCAGAGGGGCCAGTGTTAAGATATTTTTGTGCTTGAATACTTCAAAATAGCTTTGTTTCCAAAACTCTTATTTTTGTCAGCCTGGAAGAAAAGGTGCTTTGGAAATAACTAAATCTCCAAGGTAAACTGAGGCAGACACTGAGTGTGTTTGGGGGTGGGCATGAAGCATGGATCACAGCGAGTATGTCCTGCTAGTGCCAATGACATCTTGAGATCATAAAGCAGATCCATCCATCCTTTGAGGAAACTGCATGTATCCTTGGGATGAGAACGGAGAATCAGTCTTCTGTGTACAACAGAGGCCTGTTCCAGTGGTCTCTTCTCCTGCAGACGCTCATTGAGCCACGAGGGTAATCTGGCTGGACTGCTTGTTAGTCTGCTAATGGCCAAGCTGGATTGGGCTGCCTGGGCTAACATCTTCTTTATCCCCTCACTGCTACTTGTGTGTCCTCCCCAAAGCTGCCGGCGCCGATGGGCACCCTGTTCCTTAGTTGAGGGAAATACAAGTAGCTGGGCTTCTTGCTAGCCCTCTAAATAAACTCGGTGGTTGTCGGGCAGTGGGAGCCAATACCAACAACAGTTCTTCTGTCACCCATGTCCTTTTCAGGAAGGGGGAGGGCTGTCAAGGAGGAGGAGTGGCAAGTGTCCAGGCTGTTGGGTGAAGGCCAGAGAGAAAGAACCTGTTGTAAATCCTTACTTCCCCCACTGTTGCAGAGAGGATTGTGAATGAAACAGCACTTCTGACTTCAGCCTGCTATTCCAGGGGCACAGACAGAGGGCAAAAGGCAGGGCAAAGAGCCAGCCACAGCAGGGCAGGGATAAAGGGCTGTTCCGCTGAGCTGATGACAGACGACTGTCTGTTAGACTGAGGGCAGGTGGATGGTCCTGTTGTCAAGTCACTCACCCTCATGTACAAGCATACATGTGTTCTTGAGCGCTCTCTTTCTGTTTCTCCAATTCTCCAGTTAAAGCCCTCTCAGGTCTCGAAATCAAAGTTCTGAATGGGAAATTTATATGCCCAGGAGTGGAAAGTGCATGTGACCTGCATATCTATCATAAGAGACTTCCGAAAAGAGTAAAAAAGTGGTTGACAATAGGGGGAAGAAACGCATAGCATGTTTCTCAGTTCAAGAGAGGCAGTCTTTGCTTGACCAGAGATGGGACTCTTTCCAAGATGTCTGAACTGACTGTAGTTTTCTCCTGAAATTCAAGTCTAAAGCAAAAAAAAAAAGGCAAATTATAGCCCTCAGACCTTTCCACAAACTAGTCCCTGATGATTTGTTAAGTGCTTAGAAGATATGGAATTTGTGTAGAGAAAGAATTGCTCTTTGTCTCTGATAGGAAAAATACATATGTTGGCATGTGTCCCTCGGCTCTTTTCAGAAATGTCATAAGATGGCAGTTCTGGGAGGACAATGATGAGGTAGTCAGGGTCCTGCTTAGTGTTTTCAGAAATGATCTTCTTATGATAAGTGCTCCTTATACAGTTCTCCCTGGGGCACTGCTGTTACAGGGACTGTGGTGACTACCTGATTTTGAAACACAAATCTTTTGATTCTTTCAAACACCCAGAGAAAGATAAGCAGGATACTGACATATTGGATCCAGGCAAACTTTATCATTTCCCAGAATCCTGGTAGATAAGTACACACAGTTAAGGAGTCACAGATGACCTTTGCTAAATAAATGTTAAACCAAAGTTTAGTTAGACAGAAAATGGCAAAAATGTTTCAAATACCCTTAAGATAAAAGGGATAATAGAAGATTATTAAGTCAAAAATATGGATGATTCTGACCTAGAAGAATGGCTCAGAAAGAAATATGAACAGGAAATGAATTTTTTCCTGTATGAACAGCAGACAGAGTCATTCGTGTGAGGCTACAGCGCTGTAGCAATTTCAAGTCTAAGGCTTCCCACATCTGTTCCTTCTTGGGACAACTGAGGAATCCTTCTTTTCTTTTTCAAAACTGAGCTACTGTTGGCTCTTTAACAGAAAGGATATGAAATGACTTCCACAGGATATCGAATGACAGCATTAATCACAAATGGAGCTTCAGCGGCCCTTCCCACCAGCCAGATGGGGTTGGGGTCAGTCAGGACGGTGGTTACTGCAATGCAGACAATCAGGAGTTAATCAGGAGTTAATCCATGAAAGCTCTCTTTAGCAATAAACTATTGAGGGCTGTAAAAAAGTTCTTTGACCTCTCAGGCAAATTCTATACATCAGAACTCATCCCAAAGAAATAATTCAGAAGGAAAGAGAAATGGAACGTGCAAAGTTGCTCACACATTGTTAAAATAATTGTCAAAATACTTATGTTAAAAACATAGAAACAGTCCATGTGTTCTTTTGTAACTGCTAAGTGTCTAACCAAAGGAATACTATGCTACCAATAAAAATAATACCAATTAAAACTTTGTAGCAGCATGAGGAACTACTTATATTACAAAGTAAATAAAGATAATTGGATCCCAAAGTGTCTCTAAACTATGAGAGCAGCTGTACAGAAAATCTGCATATGGACAAAGACTGGAAGGAATGAGGAAAGAAAAGTTGATTTGTAGTTTTTTTAGTTTCAGTGTTTTAGTTCAGTTTTAAAATTCCTTTATTTTTGGAATAATGCTGCTAGAATATTAAATAAAATCAGGAAGAAATACCGGAATTGGAGTCCCCCCACTTATTAAGTGTCTGTACGTAGTACCTGTATGTAGTATCCATGATGTCTGGTTGCCAAGTAATACTTTAGATGCCTTTAGAGAAAACCTCAGACCACCAACCAGCCAGAGGTGCTGAGTCAGGCACATGGGATGGCCTGAGTGCCTTGCCTCTGTAAGGGATGGACACACTCTGCCTTCCAGCCAGAACCTAGGGTACTTCTATTCTCCTACTTTGATTACTAATAATTACACTTATACTCCCTATTTCCATCTGAAAACTATGGATAGTAATTTGTCCTTGGTTTCTTTTTTTTTTTTTGTGAGGAAGATTAGCCCCGAGCTAACATCTGTTGCCAATCCTCCTCTTTTTTTGCTGAGGAAGATTGGCCCTGGGCTAACTACCATGCCCATCTTCCTCTACTTTATATGTGGGACGCCGCCACAGCATGGCTTGATAAATGGTGCATAGGTCTGTGCGCAGGATCTGAACCCACAAACCCTGGGCCGCCGAAGTGGAGCGCACGAACTTAACCACTATGCCACCGGGCCGGTCCCAATGTCTTTGGTTTCTTTTACATGTGTGATAAAGGGAGCAACTAAATTAGGCTTATATTTAAAAAAAGGAAACTCATCCAGCCAGTGGTGAGATAAATATGGCAATTAATCAGCACTAACCTGCTGGACCATAGGAGTCAGGGGAGGGGGAGGGCATGGGTCTTCAGATCAGGAGAAAAAGGACAAATCCTAGGTAGCCTGTTTGCCTCTCACCACTGAGCATTTCTGGTTTTGACATTTTCATCATGACAAAGGCTCCAATTCTTTTTCTCTCCCAAGACCCCAATAACCTGGAAAGTCCTTGAGAAGTGTCTGAATGAACTCTACCCATGACTCACCATTCCTTGCCTGGTAAGCAGCAACAATGTGGGTGAGGTCGTAGTCACAGGCAAAAGGGCTGGTCCCGTTGATTACAGACACCTGCGATACAGCAGGAGGATGTGGTGTGAGTACCCGGACAGCTTTCCTCTCCTCTTTCCACCCTGCTGCCCACTCAGGCTCATCTCAGAGACCACCCTCTTATTCTTGGTGGCCTATTCCAGTATTAATAATCTTTTCTTCAAGGATGAATGAACACTCTTGCAACAACTTAAATTATTTACTCTCAGTCTTTCTCTTTGTGGGGATGGAAACAGGGGTCAATAACCACTTTTTACAGGTTTTAAAGATATTTTATAAAATACCCCGCTCTATTCCAATGGGAGAAATAATTCTTTTAGTTTTTTGGGGGTTTTTGTGGTGAGGAAGATTGGACCTGAGCTAACATCTGTTATCAATCTTCCTCTTTTTTGCTTGAGGAAGATTGTCGCTGACCTAACATCTGTGCCAATCTTCCTCTATCTTGTATGTGGGACACCACCACCACATGGCTTGATGAACAGTGTGTAGGTCCATGCCCGGGATTCGAACCCGTCAACTCTGGGCCACCCAAGCAGAGAACACAAACTTAACCACTATGCCACCAGGCTGGCCCCACTTTTAGGTTTTTTTAATAGACCGTATTTTCAACTCCTTTGTTTTTTTCTTGCTCTTCTCTGCATGATCTCTAACTTCTTTCTCTTTTAAATGTAGATATGGAAATAGGATAAAGTGCAAATAGTAAGCATATAATCCTCTGAAGAAGGAAATTACTTCCTGCTCTCTAATATCATATTCCTGTTGATATAAACCTTCAAATAAAAAGTGCTACGGGTTTCCAGATGACGACTGGATTCAGAATGCTGAGGACTTGGAGGAGGCATTAAAAACGTAAAAAAGAGGTTCCATTCCAAGATGGCAACATCAGAGCCCCCTGAACTCACCTCCTTCCACTGACACACTGAATCTACAGCTACATATGGAGCAAGTCCCTCTGAAAGAAATTCAGAAACTAGCTGAATGACTCATACATTTTGGGAGAATGAGAAAATACTCACATCACCCACATCGAAATGGGTCTTGGCACATCCTCACTGGGAGCCACTAAGAACAAAGAAAGTGGCTTGGACAAGATAAAGATTTGAGAGACAAACAAGAGCTCAGGCTGGGCTGAGTGACAGATTCATCTTCTATGTGAGACTGCTCTGTCAAGACTGAGAGAGGGGGCTGTTTTAGCTAATGTGCAGAAACCAACACAGAGAGTCAAGGAAAATGAAGAAACAGAGAAATATGTTCCAAACAAAAAAAACAAGATAAAACTCTAGGAATAGACCTTAATAAAACGGACAGGGCCGGCCCGGTGGCGTAGTGGTTAAGTGCACGCGCTCCGCTGCTGGCGACCTGCGTTCGGATCCCGGGCGCACACCAATGCACTGCTTGTCAGGCCATGCTGTGGCAGCATCCCATATAAAGTGGAGGAAGATAGGCACAGATGTTAGCTCAGGGCCAATCTTCCTCAACAAAAAGAGGAGGATTGGCATCAAATGTTAGCTCAGGGCTGATCTTCCTCACAAAAAAAAATAATAATAAAATAAAAAAATAAAATGGACATAAGTGATTTACCTGACAAAGAGTTCAAAATGACAGTCATAAAAATGTTCACTGATGTCAGGAGAATAATGCATGAACAAAGTGAGAAAGGGCAATGCAAGAAAATCACAGGCCAATATCCCTGGTGAACACAGATACAAACATCCTCAACAAAATATTAGCAAACCAAGTTCAACAGTACATTAAAATGCTCAGACGCCATGATCAAGTGGAATTTATTCCAGGAATGCAAGGATGGTTCAACATCCACAAATCAATCAATGTAATATACCACATTAACAAAATGAAGAATAAAAATCATATGATCATCTCAAAAGATGCAGAAAAAGCATTTGACAAAATTCTATATCCATTCATGATAAAAATCTCAACTAAGTAGGTATAGAGGGAATATATCTCAACATAATAAAGGCCATATATGACAAGCCCATAGCTAACATCACACTTAAGCTTTTCCTCTAAGTCAGGAACAAGACAAGGATGCCTACTTGTGCCACTTTTATTTAACATAGTACTGGAAGTCCTAGCCAAAGCAATTAGGCAAGAAAAACAAATAAAAGTCATCCAAATCAGAAAAGAAGAAGTAAAATGGTCTCTATTGGCAGATGACACAATATTATATATAGAAAACCCCAAAGACCACCAAAAAACTGTTAAACCCTAATACATGAATTCAGTAAAGATGCAAGATACAAAATCAGTTGTGTTTCTATATGCTAACAATGAAGTATCAGAAAGAGAAATTAAGAAAACAATCTCATTACATTGCATCAAAAAGAATAAAATACTTAGGAATAAATTTAACCAAGGAAGTGAAAGATCTGTATACTGAAAACCATAAGACATTGATAAAAAGAAACTGAAGAATACACAAATTAATGGAAAGATATTCTGTGGTCATGGGTTGAAAAAATCAACGCTCTTAAAATGTCCATACTACCCAAAGCAATCTACAGATTCAGTGCAATCCCTATCAAAATTCCAATGGCATTTTTCACAGAAATAGAAAATCAATCCTAAATTTGTATGGAACCACAAAAGAACTCCAATAGCCAAAGCAATCTGAGAAAGAACAAAGCTGACGGCATCAAACTTTCTGATTTCAAACTATATTACAAAGCTATAGTAATCAAAACACTATGGAATTGGCATAAAAACAGACACATAGATCAATGGAACAGAATAGAGAGCCCAGAAATAAACCCAAGCATATGTGATCAATTAATTTATGAGAAAGGAGCCAAGAAACCAATGGGGAAAAGGATGTACCTTTAATAAATGGTGTTGGGGACACTGGACAGCCACATGCAAAAGAATGAAATTGGACCCCTATCTTACGCCATACACAAAAATCAAATCAAAAAGGATTAAAGTCTTAAATTTAAGACCGGAAGCTGTAAAACTCCTAGAAGAAAACATGGGTCTTGGCAATGATTTTTTGGATTTGACACCAAAAGCACAAGTAACAAGAGCAAAAATAAATAAATGGGACTACATGAAACTAAAACACTTTTGCACCACAAAGGAAACCATCAACAAAATGAAAAGGTAACCTACTGAATGGGATAAAATATTTGCAAATCATATATCTGATAAAGGGTTAAAATCCAAGATATATAAAGAACTTACACAACTCAAAAGCAAAAAACAATCTGATTAAAAAACGGGCAGAGGAATTGAAAGACATTTTCCAAGGAAGACCTACAGATGACTCACTGGGACAGGCACACCTTGTTTTACTGTGCTTCGCTTCATTACGCTTCGCAGATACTGCGTTTTCTACAAATTAAAAGTCTGTGGCAACCTTGCATTGAGCAAGTCTATCGGTGCCATTTTTCCAACAGCATTTGCTCACTTCGTGTCTATGTCACATTTTGGTAATTCTCGTAATATTTCAAACTTCTTCATTATTACTATATTTGTTATGGTGATCTATGATCAGTTTTCTTTGATGTTACTATTGTAATTGTTTTGAGCCACCACAAACTGCGCCTATATAAGACCGCGAACTTAATCGATAAATGTTGTGTGTGTTCTGACGGTTCCACTGACCGACTGTTCCTCCATCTCTCTTCCTCTCCTCAGGCCTCTGTAATCCCAGAGGCACAACAACATTGAAATTAGGGCAATTAATAACCCTAAAATGGCCTCTAAGTGTTCAAATGAAAGGAAGAGTTGCAAGTCTCTTACTTTAAATCGAAAGCTAGAAATGATTAAGCTTAGCAAGGAAGGCATGTTGAAAGCTGAGACAGGTTGAAAGCTAGGCCTCTTATGCCAAACAGTTAGCCAAGGTGCGAACGCAAAGGAAAAGTTCTTGAAAATTAAAAGTGCTACTCCAGTGAACACACGAATGGTAAGAAAACAAAATAGCCTTATTGCTGATACGGAGAAAGTTTTAGTGGTCTGGACAGAAGATCAAACCAGCCACAACATTCCCTTAAGCCAAAGCCTAATCCAGAGCAAGGCCCTAATTCTCTTCAATTCTATGAAGGCTGAGAGAAGTGAGGAAGCTGTAGAAGAAAAATTTGAAGCTAAGAGAGGGTTAGTTCATGAGGTTTAAGGAAAGAAGCCATCTCCATAACGTGAAAGTGCCAGGTGTAGCAGCAGGTCCTGATGTAGAAGCTACAGTGAGTTATCCAGAAGATCTAGCTAAGATAATTAATGAAGGTGGCTAAACTAAACAATAGATTTTCAATGTAGACAAAATGGCCTTATACTGGAAGAAGATGCCACCTAGGACTTTCATAGCTAGAGAGGACAATGCCTGGCTTCAAAGCTTCAAAGGACAGGCTGACTCTCTTGTTAGGGGCTAATGCAGCTGGTGACTTTAAGTAGAAACTGATGTTCATTTACCATTCTGAAAATCCTAGGGACCCTAAGAATTACGCTAAATTTACTCTGCCCGTGATCTATAAATGCAACAACAAAGCCTGGATGACAGCACATCTGTTAACAACATGGTTTACTGAATATTTTAAGCCTAGGGTTGAGACCTACTACTTAGAAAAAAAGATTCCTTTCAAAATATTACTGTTCATTGACAAGGTACCTGGTCACCCAAGAGCTCTGATGGAGACGTACAGTCAGATTAATGTTGTTTTCATGCCTACTAACACAACATCCATTCTGCAGCCCATGGATCAAGGAGTAATTTTGACTTCAAGTCTTATTATTTAAGAAATATATGGGCCGGCTCCGTGGCTTAGCGGTTAAGTGCGTGCGCTCTGATGCTGGCGGCCCGGGTTCGGATCCCGGGCGCGCCCCAGGGCACCACTTCTCC